ACCCTCAACCCCAAAACCAACAGCAAGAACCCAACCTGAGAGAGGTCTTCCTCTTGGGTGGTTTTTTATGATGACTTGTTCTTCCTGGTTCTCATGCACTGATTGATACAAAGCTATGAACATTATCTGCATTGACAACTGCAGGGAAAGTTGGGTTTTATAAAAACAAAAAACATAACCCAATTAAATTTTCAGTTTGTGGCCTTTACTAATTAATAGTACTCCTTTAAATAAGAATATTACCATTTCCTTGGTATATTTCTCCAGTACCTTCTCTTTAAATCAACAGGTAAAAATTACATGGAAAAGTGGATGAACGTCAGAAAAACGGCCACATACTGCAGCACTGCCAACCAGCTACTGACAATCCCTTCACCTCCTGCTCACCCCCAGACCTATATATGTTTGGACACTTTATCATTACAAATGCAATGGCTGCAGCTTTGAGCAGGTTAGAGAGATGAGAGTCTGGCTCATAGTCTGCATTTCTAACTCTTCACAGAGCAAGAGAGTCCAAACATATCTTAGTTCTTTATAGCTGCTCTTCATACAGACAACTAGAGATCTTTATCACAATAAAAACAGAAGGCACTGCCATAGAATGTAATTACATGCTACTATAGTTGACTGTTGTCTTCCAGAATAGGAAATGGTTTGAAAAATGCATAGTTTCTGCTTGGGCCATACTCTGAGTTCCTTAAATAAAACGCTGCCCTAATCCCTGTGCAGACAAAATGGGAACCCTCGTATTCTAGGGCTGAGCAATCTTGAGTGGGCTTCAAGGTCTGGCTTGATGTTGTCAACTTCTGCACCAGTGATCTGCCTTGTGTACAACACACTGGGGAAAATCAGGTGTAGGTTCTGGTCTCTCTTCACACCACCCAGAAGTTCACATCCCAGGGATGGGGAAGGAGTTAGTTTGTTAAGGTTATTTCTTACTCCTCTTTAGTCATTTAAGAACCCAAAATCTCAAGGCAGCACACCCTATGGAGTTCTTCCTTTTGGAAGGACAGCAGGCTATCATCACAAATCCCCCCAGATAACAGCACCCCACCAAGCAAAGGCAACTTACTGCTGCACAAGCCCCTGGCAAAGGAACAGGGGTGGGTTTCCATATCCTCAGCTGTATCCATGCTCTGCAGCCAGCTGGGTAAAATCTGCTGCCTACCCTGAAGGTGCATAAACTGTCAATCAGGCACCAGGACAAGTAGGTTTCAAACATCCACTTGGTCCCACATTCCTGATTCCTTGAAGAGGCCTAACGTAGGATCATTGTACACAGCAGAATCCTTGCTAAAGTCAAACAGTTTGGTAAATGAATCATTATCAGAGACTTCTGAAACTGGACTGCTTTCTCTCACTGTACAGCTAAAAGAAACAGGCAGGTTCTTGTTGCTTCTGAAAGAGCATTTGCAAAAAGGAAGAAAGAAAGGTGACTGCTGGAGAGTAATTATTGTGCTAAATGATTATCAATGAATTAGAAAGTACAAAAGACTCCAAAAAGCTCCATAAAGATGACTAAATATGATCGGGAAGAGGTGCCTATGAATCACACACCGTTTCTCCATTACCATAAAATAATAATGGTTCATACACTTTACTATAAAACTTTCTCTGAGGGTGTCACAGATCTGTATAAACACAAAGTTCACCTCCCAACCTCCCAGGATGGGAAGCACCATCTCCATAGGGAAAAGCCTAGGGAGCAGAAATGTGTCATTCAACTCATGTAACACAAAGAGGCTGCAGCAGAGCTGGGGACAGACCCTTGCCCCCCATTTTGAACACTGACCACAAGACCAAGCATCACCCGTTTGTTTTATCTCCTTTTGATTATTACTTTTGATTATTACTTCTGTTTCTTTTCTCAGTGAGTAATTTTTTTGGATGGCAAACAGCAGTATTTAACTGACAGTCCCAAATGCCTTTAGAAAAGGAAGATGGGAGTGATGTTGCACAACAGGACCACAACATCCAGATGGGTCTTCCTCGTACTCAGTTACACGTCTTGCCCATTACACCTTATCCACTGTGAAGTGTGATTCAACGTGTTTCTTCCCTAAACCCCAGGATTTCAAGCAACCATTCTGCAGCAGAGAACTGTGCACACTTGGCATGTCACACCAACAACACACAAAACAAACTGTGACTCAGTTTTCAAGGGAAATATTTGCTGCTTCAGAAATCATCTCGATTATTAAAGGCGCGTTCTTTCCAAAGCAAGTCAATGTAGCTAACCCCACCCTGCCACAACTTGGGATATTCACACAGTTTAAATCACTCCCTCTCCCTACTCCAGGCATCTTCTACTTCAACAAGAGTTCTCCCCCTCTGCTCTATGTTTTTCCTGCTCCATCCTTTTTCAGTACTTGCCTCTCTCCCCACCCTGCTCTCTAGTTGTTTCTAGTCTCTTCCCCTCCTTTCTTTACAGTCATTTCCATTTTCTTTGAAATGTATTGGCATTAAATGCTGGCTTTATCCTTCCTTCTCCATCTGCTGCTCTTGTCTTTCTAAATCTCTTCTAGAGCCTTCTCTTGGGAGAAAGCAAAAGCCATGTTTCACCATTTACTGCCTTCTCTTTCTGGATTTCAGTTCTCTTCTTTTTCTTTCTGCAATCAAACAATCCTCCTCTCCCTGGAAGCTGATATACCAGCTACAGTGTCTTCTTACCAGCCCCACAAGAGCTGGTACCGTGCTGCATTGTATCTGCTGCTCCTTTTGAACACAAGTATCCCAGGAAAGGCACTGTTAATAGTTGGCATTTCTCCTATATACTACAAGAGCAATACAAGAAAGCAAAATTACTGCTAGGTTTTACTCCCCCCTGCTTTGCACTCAACATTCATGGAACCTTCTTGGCCATGGGGACTTGCTCCACCAGCTACAGTGCAATTTTAAAGGGAGTTTCCCCCTCCCTAAGGGTTTTCTTCTCTGCAAAATCTTCTATTTCATTATCAGGACTTACAGGGAACAAAGGAGAAATAACCCAGCTTAACTGCTATTGCAGCCTTTACACAGATCTCCCCTAATTTATCTTTCCAGTGTATTTTCATTTGGGACTCAAAGGCTCAACACTAAGAGGTATCTTCCTTGCCTGTTCACTTGGCCTCTGTAAGTGGAAGATGACATGGACAGCTGCCAATTAGGAGAGCAACAACAAACTCCTTTTGGGAAGCAAGCAGCCATATCTGCACCTGCACCTTTTAACTAAAACATGAGACAGAATCCACACTGATCACAGATTAAACTAAGAAACTATGGTGAGAATGGTGAAAGGATTTTTTCCTGTCTGGGTTATTTCCAAACTTCAGTCCAAAGCCTGACTGTGAAAGTTTCCCTTGTATATGTTATTAGATGATGTGTTTAACTGTTATTGTACACTAACACTGCGAATGCTGCCTCCTAAAAGGTTTTGCTTTCAGAAAGGCTCAAGGAAAATAAAACCCAGAAAGTTAAAAAGAAACCCTTGCAGCCAGCACCATGGATTTGCAAAGAGGGATGAGATTTAAGTCACAAAAAACACAAATCTTTTACACTTACAGTTATGCTGCCAATGCACAGAAAAAAAGTACAAGAAATGAACCATTTATCAAGGATTCCAAAATAAAGTGAACAAGAGCATTAGCAAATGCCAAAGCTTATAAAAGCCTCAAAACACTAAGATCCACACTTCTTCCAGGAGCTCCAAAGATACAGCACAAGAGTCAGGGGTTTCTTAGCTTTGTTTTTTATGTTTCACACAGCAGCTTTTCTCTGGTCACAGAGATTTTGCTTTATTCAATGCCTGGAGTAGACTTTGACTGATGAACAATCAGCAGCTACCAAAGCAGTGGAGTGGAGACTCCGACACCTATTCCTCTCAAGGTTTTCCACTCTTGTTTTTAAACAAATGTTTTAAACACAAAGCATATTGTCATGGATTTATTACAAGCTAAAAAGGAAATATCTATTTAACAAGATACAACTTATCTGCAACGTGCTCAGCTAAAACCCAACAAGGAACCAAGAAGGAACATGATATGCTCATTCTGCCCCACTCTCCCTTGGCAGTTTGATGTTTATGTCTCCTGCTTCCCATCTGAAAACAGAATTCTCATGGCCACCAGTGCTAATCTGCAAAGCTGTGACAAGTGCGCCGGCACCGAGAGTGAGAACAGGGACAACAATTCACTCAATTATTTGAGAGTTCTCTGCAATAACAACAACAACAGATTTGCAGCTAGAAGCCTGATTTAACTGACTGACCCTTCCAGCGTTTCTAAAGAAATTATATATTATAAAACTAATTCAGTGAAAAAATGGAAGTAAAAATAGAAGCGATGAGACATCTTCCAAATAAGCAAAGCTGCTTTTACAGCATGCTGAATAACTGGAGTGTGGTAAACATACCACTGTTATAAATAACATCCAGCCTTTAACATTATTCTTTGGTTCATTATTTCAAGCTCTTTATAAGCATTAATGCAGCAAGCCTCACGGTTCTCCTGCACAGTGAAGAGATTTACTCCCATATATGGGAGGAAAAATGAAGATACAGGGACAGAAAACACCCCTCCACAGTTACAGTGGCACAACTGTGCTGAGAATTCATTCAGGAGGTCTCGTAGTGTAAGAGTAAAAAACATCCTCTCACACTCAGCTGTGAGTGCTGTTAAATGACCAGTTTGTACCTTAAGATTTACACATTGTTGAGCTTTACACGAACTCTGGCATCAACATTTTTACATGTAACCATGACTAGTAAACGACCAAGACACACACACACATTTTATACAGATCAGTATGGCCCAAACATACTGTTTTTAAATGGACACAAACAGCTTCTCCCTGCTGAGGGACTTCCATGTTCTGCTTCAGCACCTAACCATAAAACCTTTAAAAATCACATTTCATGTTAAAATTGCTAGCAGCTGCCAAGGTGTCACATACAGCACTTTGTCACGTTATAGGTAACTATACACCAGGACCCAGCACAACAGTAAGAAATTGTCTCTCATTACCTTTGGGGTCTTCTTGGGCCAGCTGACCACAGGGACACCCGAAATGGCAAGATTTTGGTCATCATCAGCATGTTCCTTCAGGATGTTCTGTTGCAAATGAAAAGGCCTTTATTAACCAGAGAAACATTTCCCCAGCGGAAGAGTGCAGAGTCTTACAGAAGACAATAATCTACTTTGATGAAAGACAGAGTGACAAGATCTCTGCTGTTACATCTCTGCAAGTTACTTTTGCTTCCAAACTTTCAATTCACACTGAAACTCTCACACCTGTCATTAAGATCCAAGCTGTGAAGTTTCCTGCAGAACAGACAGCAGAATTAGCCATGAATTACCTCAGATATTACAGACTGCTTTAAAATTGGTGTATCCAGAAGACTGGTGTGTTTCCACTGCTACCAGTCTAATACTAGTATGGTCTCTCCTACTAAACTGCAGCTCACTAAATCATAAAACAGTCACCACAACCAACACTTTCTCCACCAATTTAGGTTCTGCCACCATTATTTCTGCAGTCACAGGGCATCAAGTGTGTAGTTTAGGGTGATCCCCAGATGCCTGAACATTCCGGTAAGCCAAGATACAGAAGTGTGCACTGTAACCCCTCATCTTGTTGCACATGGCAAGTCCAGAGCACCATTATTTTCACTGGCCTTCCTTCCACACTGACCAGGGCAGAGCTGCTGTGATCTGGTTCACTTTATGTGCTCCAGTAACGCATTCAGGATCCTGAGTATGCACTGGGAAAGGATCTGACTCTGGCCATTAAGGAAAATAGATTTGTCTCCCTTCCTTCCTTCCTCCCCCACCAAATCCTTTTGCTTTGATGCACTGTCCTAGAAATTTCATGAGTGGGTTGCACTGCCTTACACAGTTTCTACCACTGTGAATCACTCCCATGACCATAAAACTCAACGCAGAGGTGGGAGAAGAGCTCTAACTGTACTCAATTGTGCAGCTGGGAATAGTCCACACTTGTTTCCCGTGACTCTCTACAGACTTACTAACCAAGCTACAGAGTTCTTCATTTAGAATTTAGGTAGCTGAAGACAACAACAAATGAAAACAAAAACCAAGTGGGAAGGAGGATTCTGCTGTGCTGCTGAAAACTGAAGCCCAAATAAGCACTAACAGATTAAGGGGTGTGGGGGGAGAAGGAAATGCTCCAATAAACCAAGTAAGAACTGCAGGTTGGAAATCACCTTGTAATAGAATTCAGGAGATAACCCCAGACTATGAAGTTCAACGGTGTTGCCACCAAGTATACAGACTTCTTGAAAACAGCTCAATTAGACAACAATAGGCACCAGGCTTTGTCAGTCCCCAGCGTAGAGCTTAATTATTAGAAACTTCACAGGCTATACAAGAAGAGCTTAAAATACAGTAATTGTTTTAATAGGAAGCACAGTTGGAATTCATCTGTAATCATCCAGCTAACGCCCGGAGTACGACGGCGTGTTCCAGGCCCCAGGAGCCTGAGCAGGCAGACTAGCATCCAAATTGGGGTTTGGAGGAGTGTCCCTGGGGCTGGTTTGCCTCCCTTGGGGCTCAGACAACCTGCTGGATTGAGCCCAATTCCCCAGACTGTGCTTAAATGAGAGATGCTAACCGACTAATAGACACTGCAGCACACCAGCACAGTGCTGCTGCTTCACATACCATCACACCACTAAAAGGCTCTTCTTGATACTGATTACTCCGAAAGCAGCACCCAGGACCAAAACAAGCCCAGTTTCGTCAGCCCAGCACTGTGGCTGCACTCAGGAGCTTGCATAGGCACAGCCTGGCTGGTGAGGAGTAAAATGCAGCTTGCCCCAACCTGACCATGATCAGTCTGTTGTGTACCTCCAGACCTGCGTTCTCCAAGTGAAAAGGCTAACAGCTTTCACACAGGGACTAGTCACTGGCAAATTAAGTCTTGGCTGAGCTGAGGTTAAGTGAGCACCTCTTTTCTCTCATGTCCTTTTTATTTTGAGAGAGCGATCACTGCATTAACTGAACTGTGACCACATTCTGAGCCACTTTTCAGTCCTAAAACCAGAGGGGTCTTTGTTATTCTGATAGCAAAGCCAAATTCTCCAGAGCAAGGTGGCAGCTTGAGAACCATATAAATAAAGGACAAATTAATCCCCCTTTACTTTGCTACTCTCAGATTTGAAAGCTTGTAAGACAGAAAACCTTAACATTTCCACTAACAACTGTCAGAGACAGCGAGTTCAATAGAAAGCAGAGTATATTCCAAGAACTTGGCAAGATAATGAAGGTTTCTTGTTATCGTATGTATCACGTGAAAATATTATCCAAAAAGAAATGTCAAACTATGGCAGTTTATCATCTCAGCCAGCTGAAAACAACGGATGTCTGAGCAGCAGAACCACAACCACTGAGTGCAGTGTCAAGTGGCAGCGCACAACAGGCTGGAGGAGGCAGACTTGTGTTCACCTGCTCAAAAAAACCAAGAGAAAGAGAAGATAAAGCAAAGCCACAGGGCTCCAGTTAGACACAAACTGCTGCTCAGCCAGCACAAGGCTGCCCGATGCACTACGCTTGAAGGCTGTGGTGACAACAGCAGGTCTGAAGGGAAGAAAGTGATTAAGCTTGTAAGAATTCAGCTTAGCCATTAATTTCAAAAGCACAGCAAGGAATGACTCCCCTGAACTGCATTCAGCAGAGGGAGTTTTTTCCCTGTCATCAGAATGAGAAGGGGGTAAGATTTCCTGGCAAGAAAAAGTAAGAACATATTTCAGTAGATATCATCTGTCTTGCACAAGAATCTTCTGCTGCTGCCAAGGAGATGCGGATATTTGACAAACTCTCTTCTTCCAACTGAGTTTCTTCTGCCTTAATGGACTTCCACAGTCCCTTCTGAAGAACAGCAGCATTTTTGCTTTGAAGTGGGGAAGGTCTGTGGCATTATTAGGAGGCAGATCTCCCAATCCTCTTCCCCAACAACGGCAAAGGAATTACCATCCCTCTGGTAACACAGCAGAAACGCTGTGTGCTGAAATCAGAGGCTGCACACAGACAAGTATCACTAGAGAAGTGTTTAATGTGGGATGCAGACTGGCACAATCAAAGGTCTGCTCAGCTTTACGTGTCCTGTGATGTGGGGTGCAAACACCACCAAGGAGTTAAGATGGTTACCTCTTTATTCCCTCCTTCATGCTTAAGTTCACCCCAACTGCATCTTTAGTAGACTGACATACTATTTAGCAACTAAATACGAAGTAGAAAAGCCACACAATGAAACTCTTCCAATCCCCAAGGCTACCATTTAAGAAAATTACTTCTCGGTGATTTTTTCCCCCTCCTCTTCCTCACCAGTGTAGGTACTTTTCCAACAGTTCAGCTGCTACTTAATTCTTAAATCCAGAGCTGGAGTTGTTGCACCATTTCCTATTTCACTTTGGGGCACGTATATATATGGAAAACAAGCTATGCCTGCAGGCTGCATGTGCTTCTAACAGCAGCACCACCAGCAAGGACGAGAGGGCAACGGCTGCAGCGTCTTCTGGCTGTTCCCCCTGCCAGCAAGCACCCTGCCAAGCCTTCTGTCCTTGTGCAGCTTGGGTCAGCTGAGCACTTTTGGGGAGGGTGTGTTGATCTGCACAACAATTTCCCCTCACATTTGCTGCACATACAGCTCGCACAGAGCCCATCCACAGACATTTGGATACAGAGAGTGTTGCATCTCCTTGGCTGATTGTTCAGATGCCATCTGCTGCGGAGCGAACGCTGCTGCCCGTAATCGCTGTTTGGAGGCCTCTGAGAAGCTCCTTTGGTGGTGAACACAAGTCTCATGTGAGGCAGTGCCCATACAGCAGAGCTCCAGCCAACAAGAATTTAATTCCTTGTTTGAGCTGAGGGAAGAACTGACCCACTCCCCAAGCGAGGCCCGTGTTATGCTCTGCAAATAAGCCTCCCTTGTGCTGCAGCACTCCATCGATCATGGTGATAAATGGGTTCTCAATCTGCAGAGGCATTAGCTTGGCACTTCTGGATTGCTGTGTCCCACTGGATAGTTGCAGTTAGTTAGGAGCTTAGATGACGTGTAAAGAATTTACACAGGCTTAGTTTGGTTTTCAGTCTCCCTTCTCCTAAGAAAAATAAATTACTTCAAAGAGTCTCACCTACTTGACATTAAATAGCTGTACATAGTTGTATTTACCACTAAGAGCAGTAATCCAGCTGCCCATCCTTTGCTGTATTCTTGCTCAGATGGGAAAGCATGGATTCTTAGTGAGTTACCTTGATTTGTGCTGTGAAACTTCACATCACCAAATAAAATGTTCTCCTTTCTCCAGTTTAACTACCCATATCCTATTTTCTGAAAACATTAATTATCTTAGTGAAGCACAAAGACAAACCTGAATGTCGTACAGAAAAGCTCCTGAGTGTATTTAATTAACAAATAAAACTGCCACTATAAACATGGATTTATTTTCTTCAGGAAGAAACCTGTTTAAGGCTTCCCAAGCAGACCAAGAGCTTTCAGACTCCGTCAGAGCAAGTTCTTGCCATGCTTTTGTCAAAAATAACTCCCAAATGGGTGCACTAAAAGGGTACTTTTTAAAGGCTGTATTATTAACACATCATATGCTCAAAAGTCAGGTTGCCCATGAAATAAACCTTGTGAATACAGTCACAGCATGTATGATCTGCACAGCTGCTTCTGCAGGATTTCTGCCTCCATGAAGCTACACAAATGACTGGTGCTCTGGATATCCATCAGGATGAGGCAAAGGTGCCAGGCTTCTGCTCACTCTGCTGCTAATGCTATCAGCAAAATCCCCGCGTTAATTCCTGTACAAATTGGAAAACTAGGAGCAAAGTAAGAATATGATTTAGTGGTCAAGGAGATAAATACCATCCTGGTAAAGTGGGCTGCGTTTCTTCCATCTCTAGATGATACAGGTCAAATCTTTCAAACGAGGTTTCCACAGGCACTCACTAGTTGTATGTTCCTACTCTTCCTCACACCTGGCTTGGAATCTAAATGCTAAGGATCAGAACTGCTGCTCTGCAGAAACATGAAGCAACTACAATTTTAATACTATTATCTTTTGCACATGTTGTTCTTAAATAATGCCAACTTTTCTGCAGATGACAACTGCAGCACGTAAAACCAGTCTCTAAAACTATGGTTAGTTTTATCTTAATCTCTTTTCACCTTAGTTCCCTACCTGTGAACCAGAGATAACAACAGCTCATCAGTTACCACTTGTGAAGCACGTGAGTAAGGCAGTGATGAGTATCACCAGGAACCCCAAGGGAACACTGGTATCACTGTTCCTCTGAGGGTCTGAACAGGATGACAATGTACCTAACACACACTGAAGAGCAAGGACAGAACAAAATGCTGAACAGCCACATTCTGCACACTAAGACAGACAGGAACCCTGCAAGGACCATTACACTAGATGACTCTTAAGGGGCTGAAACCAGTCACTTGGCAACTTTTCCATCAGCATGCTCTATCCTTTGAGGGTAGAGGCCCTAAACATACACTGATGCACTTGGTTTGGATTACTATTTTTTTTAAAAGCAAATAAACTGAATAAACCAAACTTCATGCTTTAGTATCACCTGGGTTACAAGGAAATAGGATGCTTTGGCTCTACCACATAAGTGAAAACAGTGTCAGAAAGAAGCAATAGGTTGTTGCATTCAGAATCCCAGATGGGAATGGGATACACTTCCTCAGTAGCTGCCTTGGACTATTTGCTGATGAGGAGCAAGGGAAGGCTTGGGCTGGGAATCCTGGATTCCACTCCTGACTTGAGAAGAGGAAAACTCAAGCCAACACTGACCCAACTCCTTCAGAGCACCTAAAAAGTGGATGATGGAGCTGTAAGGGGAGTTACAGAGGAAGCAGACTATGGGCTTTAATTCATTTACTATGCTGTAGTAACTCCCATTCTCTGGTAATTGAGGGCTACCTGTGGGCCAACACTGTAAACAAGATGGGTAAGAAATTTCCTTAACAGTTCTTTAGACATGGTTCAAGAAAATCTTCAATATCCTTTTGAAGGTCTTACTCTGCCTGATCAATCACAGGCTCACCCAACATACAGAGGTGATTCCAGAGAAAACAATTCTGCAGCACGGATGGTGTTTAGATGTGGTCATGGGCTCTTTAACCAGCAGGGAACCATCAGTATCCAGATGTTGGGCTACATCCCGATGGTTACAGCGTGTGCTGGCAAGGACAGAAAGTTCAGAAGCAGGCAGTTATCAAAGGAGATGGAACATCAAGACTGCAGCTCTGCGACATGCACAAAATAAATGGGCAGATGCCCACTTATTACCAGTTAAAGCACAGTATCACCAAAAAGGGCCTTTTTCTTAAATGTCCATTTGCAGTTCTCCATCTCTGCAGCCAGCAAAGCCACTGTTCCGGAGAGGAGTGAGAAAACATGTATCCCTACACAGTGCTTTAAACCAGATTCACATATGGTATCTTGCCGTGTTCTGCTAAGATGTCTCACATCGCACTGGAGTATGTCATCAAAAGAGCATGTATGATTCTGAACATCTGCACTGGTTATGATGTGTCGTACCTCCTTCTGGGATCTCAAGAAGGGGCAGTTTATTTTAAGTGAAAATAGGTTTGTGTTATCAAGAAAAGTAACACTGTCATTCCTTCTCCTTCACCACAAATTCAGCTCCTGGTCTTGAAGCTTCATTTTGATTTCTGATTAGAAAAGAACTGATCACAAAGAAAGCCAGGGAATCTATAGCTCCAACTTGGGGCATGTGTGTCCACTTTCATGGCTGATTTTGCAAGAAGAGACTTTCTGAGATCTTGTGGTTTACTAAAAGGAGCGCTGTGTATCACACTTCCAGGCTCCAAGATTGTGGGATATGGTTCCACTGCACGCTGCATATGTTCAGCCTGCTTTCTGAAGCCTTTCCTAAGCAGCTGTTATACTACTTGCACTAAAAAAAGCACAGGCTCCCCTTTTACCATATAAACACGTATTTTTCCCCTCAGATTGTGGCTTACACAGCTCTTGTGTATAGAACACAGGTAGCTGAAAAACCCCACTGTACATAGCACCAGCACAAAACTAGCAGTCCACACACAAGCCCAGGAATCAATACTCATAGCTCCAAATCAGGCCAAATTGCCATGAGCACAGGCTGACAAGTTTAGCCTTACATGACAAGTCTCATCAAAAGCATACAAAGAGTATGCTGCTCCCAGGTTTGATGTGAATTAACAGGCCTGTATCTGATACAGTGTGAAAACAAGACACAGAAAAGCTAATCAAGTAGCCCAAAGGGATGCCACGGATCAGGGGCAGGGCTGGGACTAAAAGCAGCAAGGCCATGTGGGTCTTCAGGAGGAATTTATCCCTAAGTCAGATGGGGTATCACGTCCAGTATACTAAAATCTAAAGAGTTCTGCCATTAGCGAGCATTCACTCCTCACATCATCTCCAAAAATAGTATGTTGTACCAGTGGAGAATAACTATCAACCTATAGAGGGCAACGGAGCAAAAGAAAATGAAAAGGTGAAAGGGAAAAAAGCAACTGAAAACATCAGACAAAACAGCTCTGAATTACAACCCAGTGCTTACAGTTTGTATGTCACTTATTAAGGTGTACTCAGAAAGACACTAGACCAAAACCAGCAGGTTAAGACTGTAAATGTATTACTCATTTGAGGTATTATTACACATGGGACACAACTGAGAGGATCTAAACTTTTGGCCACTACTGTAACAGCCAGGAAGGACCACATCAGTTAAACCAAACTGCAAACAGCCACCTCCCCACAGCAGGGATGGCTTCTGTTACAGCCTGTTTTCCCTCTCTCTGGCACTGGAGGCTGATATAAGCTGGTCACTACACACAAGCTGCCATCCCTCTGCTGAAGAGCTTTGCTTTCTGATCTGCTGTCTTCTGTGCCCACAGAATAGAGTTTGGGTGGCTCAGCAAGCCATCACACCTACCTTCATGTCCTCTAGGAGAGCCTGTGGATCTTCGATGCCTTCTGGAACACACTTCTTGTTCTCTGGGAGAGATTCAAGCTTTTCCACCAGGGCTTTCAAACCCTTCAGTTCAAATTCTGTGAGGTGAGTCCATTTGGTTGAAACTTCTGTAGCTGGAGACCCCGTTGGTGTTTTGGGATAGTCCGTGGGGGTCGTCGATTTCACACTGTCATCGGACTCATTGGACAAAGTTCTTTTTAGGTACCTCATTACTGTGGCTTTTTGCTTTCTTCCTGCACCCTCCTTCCCTTCTGAGTGTGTGCTGTTGGGTGAAGAGGAGCCATCCACCAAGGATTTGGAGTTCTTATCCAAGCTGTCATCCTTCTCCTCCCGGATATGGGCATCACAAGATTCTTCATCCATGTCTAACCACGAATCTGATGAGTAGCTGTCTGTGCTGCGTTTTCTTTTTGCATCTGGAAGTTAGAAAAAGAATGCTGAATTTCTAGCCAGTGTAAATCAACTTAAGCATTTCTCTATCACTGGAGCTAGGTGCTGCCTGTTGAAATGAGTATTGGATAACACCTAGTAAGTATGTGACAGGAATAGGCTTTTTTCAGCTGAATTCTAAGGGGGGGGGGGTGTTGTCTGTTTAACACTGGTTTTCATTAACATCTACTCAGCTCAAATGACTGGGAAACATTTAGGGAAAAATTATGCTTTCTTCAAAGCTCCAGCCCTCTATGCCTTCAATTAGGAGTAGGCAGAGCTCTTAAGTCACACACAATTAGTTTTCCCACAAATCCAAGAGAGACCAGATTCAGCAGCTTTACAGCTTTAAGAAGAGAGTTAGCACAGAAAGAAGAGGGGGAAAATGATGGGAGAAAGCACGTTGAAATGCTCTACATCATCATTCTTCCAGGAACTCTGCACAGCATAAAACCAGCTTCTCAATACTTCTCCTCTTTGAGAGCAACTGTTGGTAAATCAAGAACCCCCGCTTGTTACCACATGAATACTCACTGCTCTTCTAAGGCAGAGGATTACAATTGCACTTATTTTACAGACAAGAAGCTAAAACAGACTGAGAAATGCAGGAACTGTCACAGAGTTACATGACACTGGTTTCCTTAATGCCATCCCTGATACATTCTAGATACTTCTCAGGAAAATCTAAAGGCAAGTTTCTATGTCTAAAGAACTATTAATTGTAGTTTTATATTAGGTTTTCCCCTAAAACTTCAAGTGTTACCCAACTCTGTGCAATCAAGCATTGAAAGCAATGTAGGAAACTAGTGGCCAAGGTTCCCTAAAGCACACAACTCTTCTTATTTATTAGACACAATTTTCTTTACTAAGTGAACAACACTGAATGCTCAGGAATTCTGTGGAAAATACAGTTAACACTGGCAACACCCAGTGAAGTCCATGTGAATTTTAATGCTGGCCAAAATGGGTATGAGATCAAGCTGCAAACAAAAACACTCTGCAAAGGAAACAGAAGTCAGACAGAAAAAGTGAGTGAACAATTAATGAAAAGCTCCTTTCACAGCTCTCATGCTTTGCAATGCAGTAGCTTTGGATTAGGACAATGTGAATCATGCTTAAGGAAGGATTAAATGGACATTAATGAAAAAGCTCAGCATCCGGTTGTTTAACAGTGAGGTTCAAAACAAACGCTGAAGCCCAGTTCCAAGCTGGCAAATTCATCCTTATCACAGGATATATAGAAAATACATCTGAAAATATAGATGTTATCTGTCAGCTGGGTAACAAAGATGCAACAGGCAGCGGCAGAGTCACAGTCTGAGGGCAGCCTGTCCAGCTTTGCAGTTGTGGATAAAAACTCTAAGGCCAAACACCCCTCTGTGTGGCAGTGCCTAAGAGCAGAGTTGCCCACTTCATACCTCCCAGGGCAAGTGTGCTGTCACTAGAGTGTCTGCAAAAATCAAGCATCTCTTTCCATTCTCCTTCAGTCATGGTTGCAATTTTCCTCGGAATCAAAATGGCCATAAAATTACTCCTGAAAGGCACACTTAAGCTAAAATGCCTGTGAAAAGATGGCAGTGACAAAACCCACCAGGTACCAGCCAGGCTGGTCACAGCCAAATCCAGCTCCATCCACAGTGCAGGGTGATTTCCTCCCTGTATCCCTCCCAAAAAGCTTTTCCCTGAAGAAGTAGAGCACAGTTTATTTTGTGTGCTGAGGTGATGGCTTGCAACATTCCACAGCAACTCCTCCTCTCTGGGCTGTGCTAATACACCCCCATGCTTCTCCCAGAAAAATAAACAGGATTAGAAAATATCTTAACCAGAACATTTAAAAAACACTAGTTTATCCAACTTGGATTTAACAGTGTTTTTCCCTTTGTTCACAGTAACTAGCACACTTACCCACCTCACAGGGCTATATAATCAGCTTATGTCATTCTCCCGTTTTACAGCTGAGGAAACAGATGCTTGGGAGAAAGCACGACTTGCTCATTGTCACACATCAAATCTAGGGAAAAACCAGGAATCAGAATCCAGGCTCTTGGATCCAGGGCTGGAGCCCCTTCTCTAAGCCACACTGCCCTGGGTGAGCTATTTCACAACTGACTGAAGCACAAAAGCCCAGCCTGGATGGGAGAAGATGCCACTGACAGAAGGGGAAAGCAGATACACATCCCCTATGCTACCAGTACAGCATCATTAACAGAAACTGGTATGAATCCACATAAGGAAAATAGGTTTCTGTCTTCCTGTGCTGCAGCTCTGCTGAACAGGAACTAACGGCTCTAACTGGGGCAAATCACAAGTGTAGATAAGGCCTAAAGAAAGAGAAGGAGATCACGTTATGGAGGTGTGAATAATTTACTCCAAGTAATGCTTTGGTGCAAAGAGAAAACAGCCTTCGAGAGACATCTCCACTTTTTGTCTCTTGCTCTCATCTATGGAAACAAAAGGCAGGAGGAGGGGAGCTCCACAGCATACTGGGGGCCTATTCCCATCAGGAACAATCACGGGGGGGGGGCACCAATTCCATTCTGCCAGCTGCCACCCTTCCCTGCCACCGGCTGTCTGCACAGGACAGGGTTAGGGTAAGAACAGGCAGAAACCAATCTAAACCTCACCTCAAAATGAACCATCTCCAGACGAGCCCTGTTGTGGGCTGCTCTCTGAAAGCTGGGCAGTTACAGGATGCTCTGCCTAACTTTATCTTTGAGGACAGGGCTTACCTTTAACCTGAAGTGTATCAGTGTAGTCTGGAGCACGAGAGGATTACAGCACTGCTGCACCATCAGATTAAGAGTGGGCTTTCAAAAGACAACAACTGTCTGCTACTGCTGCTAATTCAAAAAGCAAGCAGCCACACAAAACACTCCCACAAGGGAATCAATAACAGAGGGATAGCTGCAAGATGAGGAAGGTTCAATTTTGTGTTTTCACGTGTTCTGTTGTAATGCAACATGCCATGATTTTTATCTATTCATTGTAACGAAAACAGCTTCTGACTGAGAGTTACTACCTGTGAGCAAGGCCCTACTAAGCATAATCTGCATTTACTCTGTTGAGAACTGCATTTTAAACTCTGTATTACCAGGGTTTCACTCACTTGGAGGTGTTAGGTTTATAAAGTCTCTCCATGAAGAAGTGCTGCTGCTATGTGCACCTGAGGTTTCTTCTTCTGAGCCAATGCACCAGCCAACACCAGGTCAGAACCCCGGTTGCAGAGTGATTATCCAGTCTGGGCTCCCATAGAATTTAGTGCAAAAAGACCTTTACCCCTCTCCATCTCAAAGCAAATAAAAGCAGCTTATACCAACCAACCAGAGGCATAACTCAGTGAAGAGGAGGAGCAGCACAAGCTTGACCACAGGACAGAGAGCTACAAATACCTTTTCTATAGCAGTTCAGTTCTCTGTGGGTTCTGAGCAAATCACTTAACTTTTCTCAGTTATCCACTTGTACAAGAAGGATAATTACACACAGTTTCTTTCCTTGCCAGAAAGCAACTTGCTGTATTGCAGAACTTAAAAGGGAGAGGGGTGAGGTGTAATTATGAAACCTTTCTAAACTCTTTAGAACAGCCTAGTGCAGAGTATCTACCTGGCCATTCCCAGCTCCAAACCTGACACACTGACTTGGGAGCAGCAGTTACTATTAGTCTGCTAAAGACAGCAATGACATTTTCATTAGCAGAAAAAACCTGAGCACACTGGCAATGGAGCACTGCATGGAGTGCCCCACAAGAAATCACTCAATATAGTCTAGTACCTGCCTATCATAAGCAAATCTATTCTATCCCCTGAGAAGAGGGAAGGGGAAGAAAGGACGGACATGGCTCCTTCTCTGTGCCAGAGGGCACATTTCCTTCGTCCATCAGGCTTAACATAGAGTTAGAGCCATTCTGTTAAAATTTTAGCAATGGGAAACTTAAAAGCTGCAGGCTACAGAAAAAGCACATTTCTGATAGCCCAGTATCTTCTCCCAATTACTCTTTGTCAGCTCACTCTCAAGATCCATATCTCACTGAAGGTCAATTGTGGTTGAAAACATCCAGTACAGACTCATTCATGATAAGAGTAAAAATAATGAAGACATATCCATCCTGAAACAGTGCATGTTCAAATCTAGGAGGAAGCCCAAATAAGATCCCTTTCTGATTTCAGCCAGCAGGACAAATGTCACAGTTGAGAGACGGACAAGGGAAAGAAAAGAGAGAAAGAGAGATTGTGTGCTTTTACAGCAGCCTGCGACTGCTGTCATGTCATCATTCCCCAGAGTGTTTGCTCTTCTGTGGAACAGATCTGAAAAAGAACAGTCTCACACACTAACTATGAGGCAGCTGCCTGAAAACTCATTCTAGGCCTGGAGAATGGGAAAGGAAGCCACGGTCATCATCTTCCAACTCGCTCAGAAACACATTTTATTTAAGGAGTGGGAAGACTCAAGGTTTCAGCCTTGCCAAACACTGAGGTGGGTTTAGGTTTTTTTCCCCTGTCTGAAGTTTTGGGAGTTGAGCCATTTAGAAACCAGAAATACAAAGGACAATGCAAGTTGCTATACTAGCACGTAACTATCAGAAGTACTGCAATACAATCACAAAAATACACTTTCATGAGTAGGCAATGCCTTGAAAGAGTCACTCTGAATTTAGCAACCTTCATGTCAAAGCAAACAAACACTATGCAATGAAAACAGAGTATGAAAAGTCTAAAGATATCCTTAAAACACAACTGCTGATGAGCTCAGGTTTCTGCGTGCTCCAAAGAGGTTCTTGTATCACTGCAGTAATCTCCTTTTTCTCACACAGGAGAACAGAGTCTCCACCAATTGTGTGCAAACTACCACCTTGGGAGTCTCAGAGACCATGGGCAGCATCCTGCGCTCTCTGCTGGACGTCCTCCTCAGCTTAGAACCAACTGTTGCTTCATAGCTTCTGAGATCCAGTAAGACCACTATATTAGAAAGTATATATACAAGAAAGCAGCACAACTCAAGGGTGAAAACTAGCAAGTTCTAGCACCCAAAAGGAAAGGTAGAAAGCAAACATTTAGAACTAATTATGACAAGGAAATGATTTAAAAACAAATAGAAGAAATATTAAATTATTCCAGAGAAATTTCTGAAAATGAATACAAGGATGTGAAGAATTTTTTCTTAAACCAAGGAGGACAGAAGACAATTAAATCTATTAAGGGGCCTGCAGAGAAGTATTTTGTTTCATTACTCTTGAAGAAGAACAATGGGAAATTACTCGTCAAGGGATACTCTCTCGTGGGAAATGAAGAAATTGCTTGCAGATAGAGAAGTCTCTAAGGAAGAGACAATTTAAGGACCTTAGCAGTTCTGAAGCTTAAAAAGTAACAGCAGGGTTTTGGAACACTGACCTCATGTGGATGTCCCATCCCACAGCAGGTGAATGATACTAAGATACACACACCACAGACCAAACAAGTGTAATTCTAGGGTTACAGTTCATAGAGGTCTGAGTCAAGAGGCTGGACACTGAGACCCGTTAAAAGACAAGTATTTGAAATGGTATTACACAGAACAAAGCAGCACAACAGCTTTGTAAAGGGAAGTAATGTACCCTTACTCCTTTGTATTTGGCAAATGCCAAAGCAAAAAAGATCCAGTAGATCCAGCAGATACAGATCTGGGCTTCTGAGCCACAATCTCCAGCTGAAGAACTATTTTAAGGTTAAGATTCTGCCAAGAAGTAAAAAGCCAGTTTCTGACAAAAAAAAAGAAAGAGTACACATCTGTCTCTCCTGGAGAGAAAGGCCCTGGCTGTCAATGGCAGAGATTGTATCAGCATGCTAATACTCTGAAGTCAAGAGATAGCAGGCAGGTGGATGAACTACACGCTGTCAGTAGACGCCTCCTCGGTAAGATGAACGTACCAATCCCTTCAACACAGTGAGAACAGCTCAAGATGTGCCCAGCCAGCCCCCCCCAGCCCCCAGGAGGGCTGCAGGTCAGCTCATCAATCCTACCGGCAACAAATACATTCAGTTCTCAGTAGGGTTAATTTTCAGTCAGATCACAGAGAGCAGCTGCACAATCTCTGGAGTTCCCAACACAGAAGAGTCTTGTGAGAGCAGCATGTTTCTCAAAGCGGCTTGAAACGACCATAAGACCATGCTCAAACAACAGCAAAACAGTTTCATATTCACTGTCCACAAAGCCAGCAACTGAAGCCACCAGAGGAGACAAATCCCTGACCATGTCACCACCAAACCATTTTCCATAGAGCCAGCCAGGCTCCTTTTCCTGATGCCTTTGCAGCTGGCACTCTTTGGTCATGCAAAACAATCCTTTTCCCTCCAGACAGTGGACATCTGTGGTCCCCAGTGAGCTTTAATATGATTTGAGTCTCTCGGCTAGTGCCTGGACTGAGGCACATTTCATTGGGATCACCAAACCATTACCAGTAATCACTGAGTTGGGCTGGAATTCACACTGGTGATTTAGCTGGAAAATATCCTGAACTATCCACCCTCCACATGCAATTTGTTCTGAAATCATACCTCGGGATCTGGCACCCCCACCCTGAAGGATGAGCCTCTTCCCATGCCAGTGGTTTACACAACAGGAGGTTGTTCCTTGTTTTCCAGTGAATGCAGTTATCAGAGTTCTGTCCCTGCTTTATGAAGAGCTGATCCAAGGGGCTAAATCATCCAAGAAGAATGGATGAACTTCCATAATGAGAAAAATTCCTCCACATAGAGTTCCTGCTTAATTAACCCTTCCAACCAGGGTCTCACAGAGCCAAGGAGAGACATGGAATATGCCAGATTCCCAGTACCCCAAGCAATTTCCCTGGTCTCTCTACACAGACTCTCAGCTCCCCCAAGTTATTCTTGGTCAGTAAAACTCACTGGAGAGTGATGTCTACCTCTTCAATCCCTTCTACCAAGAGTAATGCTGGTAGGTGATCAATTCCTTCCTCTGTCCAGAACCTGGGGCAGTTCCAACCACACCAGGTTCACTCCAAGTGGCACCTTAGGGTGCAGGAAGCACAGAGATTCTTCAGCTCTCCCTCCACACTTACCAAGAGCTGGTTAAGATTTAGCTGGTGCTTGTGCTACTTTCAGCCATTCCGCAACTAAAAGCAGGGAGGCCACATGGCCCATCCTCTTGTTCCATTAAAGGGAGGAAAAAGAGGGCAGTTCAGCAAGGCAGCGACTGGAATTGTCACACACTGATGTAAAGCTCGCATCAGTGCCAAGGTAATGCCTTCCTGCTGCAGGCACGTCTATCCATCTCTGCTATGGTCCATTTTCAGCTATTGCTGTAAAGGTTTCTTTGACCTCCCTGCACTTGGGTTATAGATCACAGAGATTTGTGTAGGTGTTTTCTGGGGTTTGTTATTCTGCAGAACTAGAAGTCAGTCACCAAACAGAAAGAACTACAGCAGAGATTAAAGAGAAGAGGAAGAAGCCAGGTTTAGTGACCACAGTGCATTCCACAGAAGAGACTCTCTATAAAAGGACTAACCATCCATCCCACCAGCACAGTTGCGATGCGCACATTTCTGGCTACTAAGGTACTGTGCCAAACACGGCAGTAAATCATCTACTGTTTGGCAGATCATCTCCACACAAACACTACTGAAACCAAGGAACAAACGCATCCAAAAATTATTTTTCTAGGATCCACTTGCTAAGGGAATGTTCAACAAATATAACTCGAAGTAGGTTGGTAATTCATGGAAATGCTGAAGAGTCGAGACCTTCCCCACCCCAAAATTAAGAAACAGGTCTCCAATCCATAATCTGCTTTGCAGAAAGCAAAGCAGCAACCAGCCTAAGGTGCCAGCACCAGCTCTGAACATGCACTCAAAGGATTCACTCACCAATTAACATTGATTCTTTCTGGTACTCTTTGCTGAGGTGGCAGCGCTGGGTCACACAGGACACGTATCTCTCCAGAACATACCAGCACATTTCATAGTAGAAAGGATAACGGAATTTGGCATGCACCTGAAAGCAAGATCAACACTGTCAGTCCATGGGGAAGGGAGAGAAGTTTGCAGCACAAGGGCCAGTCATCATTCTCATCGTGTTATCAAGAGCACAAACAGTATGCAGGAGGGGGAGGGGAGAGGATGGGAGCAGAGTGAGATGTATGCCTTCAGCATACCAAATGAGGAGCCTGCCTGCCTGCCTGCCATCATAGCATCATTTCTTGGTTCACTAATTTGTATCCTCTTGGGGTGGTGGGAGAGGAAAGGGTTTGTGTTCTTGGGAAATCGTGAAACTGATGGATGGCCCCTACAGCATTATTCACCTCCTGTATAAACATAGGGTGGTCACATACAGATGTTAGTCACTAGAACTCAAGTTAAAATAAAAGTGGGTTTGTTTTATTTCCTAAACACTATGATTTTTATCAAAATGGCAACATTACCTAAAATGAGTCCAGCAGGAAATACACCTTTTCCAATTGTGGCCTTCACAACAATTTGATTAAACAAATGAACGCACAAAATCTTGATTACTGGTACCTACACATTAAAAGTAAAAATCCCCTCCTGTGGTTTACACTTTTGCCACAAACAGAATAGAAAAGCAGGGTTTTAACAAAAGATTCTGTCAAGCTGTGCACTTTTTCTTACATTGCAGACCTGTTGTTCTCACACAAAAAGCTTATTCTCCAACACTGTGTATTTGTGAAATTATTTCAGATTCAAAAGAAAACAAAGTGGGTTTCCTTCCTTTGCTACACAGTTTTCTATCTATGGGAGGTCGCTATACCAAAGAAGAATGTGGGAAGCTCCTAAAATGCAAGACCAAATGCAGATTTACTGGGATTTGTTAAAATGGATGCCATGCACCTTGCATGCTCTTGCACTTACGCTGCACACTTCTTTCTCCTGGTGGCACACAGGAATTTGCACGTTGCAGGCTTACATGCATGCACTGCACTGGGATTGCAGGAACTGCTTTAAGGCTTTCTGGGCATATGAACTGCTCACCTAGCCAAGAGGTGTCCCCCCACCTTTAATGGGCTGCACCAAAAGGGAGCAACATCTTGGAATGCTCATTTTTAAAAACCAAAACCAGAACAACCACCCCAGCTCACCCCAAAGACTGAACAGAACCACTAACCCAGCACCTGGAAACTCAGATTCACCTCTGCAAAGCTGCTGAGACATCTGCCTGGTGTTAAAAGCATCCACTTGAGCTTATGAGTGGCTTCTTCTAACACCCATATCTGAAAACTGTCCCCAAGGTGGACAAAGAACTTGTCTCTGCTCCCAGGGCACAGGCAACACAACACACTTTTAGCAGTAAACCAAAACGTAACAAAGGGGAAAGAAATAACCTGTAATGTCCCACTAAATGGATCACAGGGAAGGATTTAAATACTCCGTGGCAATTCCCAGAAGTTCAGATCTCTTAAATTCAACACAAATGTAGCTAATCTGAGCTGTGTGTTGCTATGGGTCATGCATCCAGCAGTGTTATACCTTTGTATAGCAAAGTTGATTGTTACAAAGCATACATACCACAAAGAGAAGGGGGGGAAAGACAAAAAAGGCAAAACCCAACCAACATCTCCCTAAATGTGAGAACATTTAACCCCAGGGCCTTTTTGCACTGGAGAATATCTTCCCCTTGGTTTACTTATTTGTCATAAAGAAGAGATCAAGTCACTTATCACTATTATGGAACACAGGGGAAATCAGCCATGCTAAAATATATGCTAATAAAGGAACTCAAATTTGTCCAAGAGAGCACTGCAGGAAACAAAATTTGCAAAGAATTGACTTACAAACAGGGAGCCGCCTTCCACCCCTCAGCCTTCAAAAGGTTTTCAGCCACATGCCTGGGAATATTAAAGACATCATTGCTCAACATTTGTTGACAGATTCTGAGCTTCACCAAATTTAGTTGTTACCAATGTTAATTCAGTGTGAAAGACAAGGAAGTAATGCATGCAGTGCTCCCATTATGTATATCAATCTTTAATATTCAATTTGAGTTCCTAATTGCCTCACTATCAATGTTCCAACCCACAGCAAATCCCTCCATGCCTCTGTAGTGCACTATGTGCTGGGAAGGCTCTGCTGTTACAAACCTTCAGAAGGAAGAGCTACTATATGTAGCAAGAGATACTGTGCAAAGATCAACAGTGCCTTCTGCCAGTAAAGCAAGTCTAACAGTGCTTTAGAAGTCTTTTAAAGTTTGCCTTATGGAAAAGTATAGAGAATTATGTTCTTTATGATATCCTTGGACATTTATTAATTATAATGGATGGGAACTGCGTTATGTACATGTCCATACTTTTTCCATTGTACACTTAGGGTCAAATGAACTCTTAGGGGGAGGAGGAATAAAAGAAAGAAAGAAAGAAAGAAATTAAAAATGTTCTGTGATGAATTTAAAGTGTAATATCTGATACAGACATTGCCAGAGGACTAAATCCCCCACCAGCAGGGAAATACACTGGATCATCTAATAGGCATTTCCAGCTCTAACTTCTGTGATTAATAATTTACAATCCACTGAATATATTTTTTAATTATTCCTGTATAGTGAGAAAAACCCTCTCTGGAATATGATCCATTTCTTCAGTGGAAAGTGAAATTGAGAGACTTACATCCCTCTCCAAAAGCAAGCCAAAAAACCCTGAACAAGGCACACATTTTCCTTAAGGAAGTGTTAGGCTCTTCCACAATGTCCATTAAAATCATTACAAACTCCACTGTGTTTAATCAATCCAATCATAATATGGAAAAACAATGTCTGAGTGTTTATAAAATAATGAATCTATCCACTTAGAATGGTCTTTTACACTCCAGAAAACACAACCAGTAGCAAACACCATCATCTGTGAGTGACCACCTTACGTATCTATTTTGAGTGCTTCTGGCCCTATCCATGCTCAAATATTTTAAGGCAGTTAAATTTAGATGAGTTGGGAGTAAGTTGGACACATTCTTCCTCTTCAGTACTACGGAGCTATAGCATCCCTACGCCAAGATGATGGATCTCTGCATGGCAGTCTGCTTTGCAGTTATTAGAATCACAGAATGTTTAGGGTTGGAAAGGACCTTAAGATCATCTAGTTCCAACCCCCTTGCTGGTCTAGCAGAGGAGCTAAACAGCTCGGCCTGTTTGACTAGCTGTTAACTGGCCTCTAGGAAAGCCAGACTGCAAAATGAGAGGCTCTACAAACTATAAGGCTGGAGAATGTTTGTTTACCTCAATTGCACATTAGGAGCTGTTGCCAACAATAGACACGGTTTTTATTACTCCTTAAAACTATTTTTAAATGGCTATAACCCTCTTCAAAAGTCTCCCAGGGATATGAGAAATTAAGCTGGAATAAGCATGACAAGTATATAAACCAGGCAATTTTATCAGGCTGTAAATCAGCGTTACCGTTTCAACCATCGTCTCAGCTGCTAAGACAATAACAACTACACCTAGCATAAAAATGACTTTTGAGTATCAGCAAAGATGATTAAGCATTATACAGCAGGTTTAAACACAGTGAAACCTCCATAAAATCATCTCTGTGCAAAATGAAGAGGGGAAAACACACCTGTATTACACTTTGCTTTGAGTGTGGCATATTACTTCATCAATCCCATCATGTAATTTACTTCTGTGCCATACACAACGGGGAGATCAATAGTGATGAGGAACTCATTTGCAGTATGTTCACTCTGGTGAATTTGTGTGAGCTACACACTGTACTGAGCCTGCTATACCAGCCAGGGGATGAATAGGATTATTTGAACAAAGACATTACAAACTTTGGTTGGCAAAGCAAACAACGTAGTACGCGCTGGAACCCTGTTTTGAAAACATTCACTCCTTCAAGACTCCCATGTGATATTTTTAGGTGGTGTGGGGTATTATTTCTAAATAACAGTACTGATTTGCCTGCCTTTTATCATACTTCTGCATGCCTTAGTTGCACATCTTATATTTTGAAGAAAATCTAAACTGACAAGAGGGAAGGTCTGATTTGGGACTTCCAAATGCTGCAGCACCCCCTTCCAAAAAGCTGTGACAGGACATTTCCAGAGGCAGATGCCCAGCTCCCAGAACCTCCCCAGAGGATCAGGGTGTTAGTGACTTTTAAAAGGCATTTCAGTATAACTAGCTGGCAAGGTCCTAAAAGTTAGCAAAAAATATTTGACTGTTACAGGGAGTTCTACCTCCTGGTATAAAAGCTTAAGAGATCAAAGCTGCACCCAGCTTCCCAAGAAGAAGGGCCTGACATGAAGCGCTACTGAGCAGTTACAACCCAATCTGTGTGATCTTGGGTTGCTCAAGTCCTGTGGGAACAAAACATCAGCTTTTACACAGCTTCAGGAAAAAGAGCATTTCCTTCCCATCTTCCCCATAGACATCAATGGAAATAACTTGGTTCTGGCATCAATCCTTCCTCCCAGTCTCCTCCATTCTCTGTACAAATTCCCTGTGCTAGCATCCTTCTGGCAACAACACACCCTCCCCTTCAGCACGTATATGAGCATATATTGCTGGTTCTGATCCACAGTGACTTTGAAAACCTCCCTGTGCCCTGGAGTTCTGTCTAACTACAGTGAGCCTCTTCCTGCCTCTGCCATCATAACCTTTTCCTGTCCAAGTCCCTTCACACTTCCTTAAGACACTGGATATCCTTTCCTAGGGACACCTGTTCAAGATCAGGCTGAACTCCGCTCCAGTTCTCTACCTCCACTTCTTCTCTCTGCTACATTCCCTCCATTCCAATTCCCCTAAATTTCAGCTTTTGTCTTCATCTCTCTTCCACTGAGAATTCATTTTTTCTGCTTAATATTCCATCTCTTCATTAAAATCACCCCAGGAAGCCAATGGCTCCCACCACTGTTTTGCAATGGGAAGATTACCAGGCCCTGTACCCCCTGCAAAGTAAGGGAGGGTGAGGGGAGGACCCCCCTCCTTTCACAGACTCAGAGATGGATTTCAAAACAACACATATTTGCTCCATGCCTACACATTCTCACTGCAAAGAAAACAATTTGGGGTAAAAGCCAAACCAGAATTGTGCCCTCTTGTAGAGGTGAGCAACAGCGAACTGTACCAAAGAATTGCAACTTCGTACCATTTTGCCAGCCCCAATCTCCATTAACACCATAACCAGCACTTGTTCCAGTGGTTTACCAGCACTGGCTCAGTGCAGTGCCTCCAAAACAGTCAGCCAAAGTCCCCATCTGAATTTGCACATACCACTGACCCATTTTTGCACAGGAATGCTACAGTTGCCTTGCACAGCCCATTTAATAGCCTAATAAAACAGTGGCACATCCTTCAGATTCTGCTACTTCATGAATCTGCTTCATGAGGCATATGATGACTGCTGTTTATTAATCAAGGGTAACCTTTCCACTCCAAACAAGGAGGCCACACGGTAACCTCCTCCAGGAGGCAGTACTCCTTCCATCAGGTAGGTGCTACAACCAGATGAACATCACAGCGTTCAGATTAATGTCCCACCCCAGACTCTTTTTATTCCAAGCAATTCTTGCATAGTATTGAGTCACTGTAGAAGAAAATCCTGCACAGTACGTAAGAAACATGTGGTTTCATACACAACTTCTGTGCAGCTTCGGGCAGGAGAACCATCCTAGTCCCATGAATTCTCCAGGCTCGGATATCCACTCCAGGTGTGCACAGAGAGATGACAAGCAGGGGGTTACTGGTGCTGGTACAAAGGTCTGTAAAGCGCAGTATGTTTTCATGCAAAAGGGAAGGTGTTTGATGAAAGTTTAACAGACAAAAGACACAAAAGGGACATGTCTGTGGGAAGCAGGGAAAACAGATGAGTAAATCCCACTAAAAATAGCCAACATTTGAAAGTCTCATTACTTCGTGTTTACCTCTTGTTTCAACAACTCTGACACGGAGATCCCGTCAGTTCTTGTTTGTCAGAAGGGAATACGACAGAGAGACTATGACAGATCACAGCCACAAAGAACTGTTCATTTAAAAGAGAATCAAGTGTCCTTACCCTTGTTCTGTCCTCAATTTCATAGATGCGAAGCTGCATGGGAACATTAAAGCTATGCAGGATATTTCCACCAAACACCAGAGAATCTACTGGAGTATAAACCGCATGTATCCACCCTAGAGAGGGAAAGCAAAGAACTGAGAATGCCTCGTGCTATGTAGCATTACAGAGCAACTCGCAATCAAGTTGTAACCACCCCACAAACCCCACTCTGCAGGGGATGAGAGGTTAAAAGGTATGCTCATAGCCACATTTTAAGACTAGTCATAGCAGAACAACATCTTATGATGCAGTCTTAGAGCCCTCTGTAAATTGGGTTCTTCTATTTATTCACGGCACAGTTACAGTGTTTACTGGGAACACACAAGCTTGTGACTCAACCACATCCATGACTAAGAAGTAAATTCAGTCTGTTCGATACACTTGGCTTTCAGATCTATCTACTGGCACCTCCAGTAGGGTTGCAAATCATGTTAGCAGTGGTGGTGGGCTAGGGCTGTGGAACTGGACTGAGTCACACCAAACTTTTCACACCAGCACCAGAGCATCCATCTTCAGATGTCAACAGCTTCAAATGATTACCAGCAGCCCTCCTTTGGAGGTGAAAGTTTCACATCCTATTATCAACTTCCTGAAGCAACCAAAAAGGTTTTTCACTGCAAGCTGTAACTGAAGGGATTTAACATTCCTAGTACTGGAGCTGATGAGGCTGTTCTGACCCAGTCCTGCAAAGGACTGAATTCGTCTCACAGGCTCCAAAGTGAGGGAAGAAAACCCAGGCATAACAGTTCAGGCAGCCACGCTCCAGCTCTTCTGTTTCTGCATTGTTTGCTTGGTATGTCAGCAGCAGAAGCACTGGCTATGCAAGACTGTAGCCTCTGATCTCTGCAGTGAAAAAGGAATTGATCCTGCTAATGATCTGGGACCCACAGAGACCTGACACTTTTTTTTCTTCTTTTTTAATGAAAAGCATTACAATTTATAAGCCAGCAGACAGCAAAGCAACAAAGGGGGCAGTCAATTTTCTCCTAACTGTGCAGTACTTTCCATTAAAGCTGTGGCAGCTTTCCTTCACTTCCAGATCAGTGAGGGAGCAGGAAAATACCATTCAGTTCTCCAGCTAGCAGCCTCGAAAGCTCTCCTCTGCACCAATCTTTAGACCATAAAGGCCTGCAAAGCTGCATCTGAGAAGTCCTTGAGCCACAGCAGATGGCAAAACTGGGGCTTTCCTTTAACAGATTATTGGTAGGAGAGAGACAGGAAGGAAAAGAAATCAGCACTTGAATTTTCTCCCTGGAAACAAAAGCTTATTGCCCTGGATAGTTGTCCCTGAATTTCAGAATCACAGAACGGTTGAGGCTGGAAGGGAGCTCTAGAGGGGCACCTCCCCTGCTCCAGCAGGGCCACCTAGAGCCAGCTGCCCAGAACTATGGCCAGATGGCTTTTCAGTACCTCCTAGGTTGGAGACTCCACAACCCCTCTGGGCAACCTGTTCCAGCGCTCAGTCACAGCTCTGATTCCACATGATAAATGTCACGCATATAAAAACAGCAGGTGGCTCAGAGCTCTGGCACTCTCGGTATTATTGCATCTTTCCTGCTCCAGTTAGTGTAATTTTGGTTACAGAGTCACTCACAACGATCCAGCCTGCTTATTTCTTCCAAATCAAGACCAACCAACTAGAGAGGAAGGGGTTTTTGTCACATAAGGGTAGTGTGGCAACTACATACATCAATACTCTAAAAACTCTTCACGGCTGAAGGAGTTCACCACACGAAATCCATCAGTCTGTACTAAAAGCAAACTACTGGAAACATAAATGATCTTCCTGCTCCTAGTCTTTGGGAAAGAAAAAAGATCCAAGGTCAAGGAAGCTGGGGCCACCGCTTCCACTAGGTAATCAAAGATTGATGTGGTTGGGGGAAAGAATGGAAACCATGTGCTGAAGCAAATCTGTTGCTGGGTCCCCAAAGCCAACTTACTGGGTAGGTGCTGAAACACAGGGTCAATCTGTGTGACAATTCACCTTCACTGTCAGGTTTAGAGCTGAACAAACCGAAGCTCAAAAAAGTGAAATGACCAAGTGAGTGGTGGCAGAAGACAGCTCAGAAACAGCCAGTTAGAGCAGAACACTGAGGAGTCCTCCCCAGCACTTCCCACTGCAGTTCTCAGCACAGAGCAGCCAATGTACCGCTCAACAAACATACCTGAGCTGGCAGATGCAACAAGTTATTTTAATGGAATCATCAACATCATTCTAAATACAATTTGTTATCAAATATTATCAAGTAAAAGGAGTAAGTGAGCTGAAACCTGGCTTTTTAGACCTGTATGAAAGGTAGAAAGGAGATACCCTTCATTTTGCAAGACACAAAACGAAATCCCATGCACGCAGTTGTTCCTCAAGTGTATGATTTACTGCAACCACACAGCTGCCTCCTCCTTCAAATTCTATTTCCTTAGTGAAAATTTCCCACTGGAGTGCAGTATTTCATTGTTTCTTGCTCTTCAGATTTCACTCCTCACATCTTCCCTGACCTCTTGACTTGGCCCCCACTAGATGCCAAGGGTCTTTGCGTTAATAACCACTAGACTTCCCTAGTAGCATCCCAATAATTTGGGGTGATGTGAAAGGGTCTATCACTGGCTTGTGCCAATGCCCCACAAATGGTGTCCCAGACATAAACCCTCAACAGAAAGATTAACCAGCATTAATACAGTTTTGACCCTGTCTTGTTGAAGAACTGGCAGAGGTACAAACCAAAAGTCTTCTGTAAAGTATCTGAGACACCCTCTGGTTCTGCAGATAATGTTTTTAATTCCCTACTTACATTTATAATCCAAGTCTAAACTCATCTCAGAAAGAGTTAGTACCTTCAACTCCTAACTTCTGAACCAACTAAACACCAGGTCCTTCAAGAAGCGTGTATTTCTAGTAACAAGACTGAAAATGCTACTTTTTATGAGCCAGTTCTCAATAACAAAACCCTGTGGTAACAAAGCACTAAAATTCATCACGGTTGGGAAAACACAAATAAACCAAAGGCTAAGCAACAAGCAGAAAGCCATTAACTGTAAAGTCCTTGGAAGTAAAGTTCCTACCCCTAGCCAAAGCAAGGTGTGGGATTACTTCCAGGCATAGCTCAGGGATGGGTAAGGACAATGCCTGTAGGTACCACCCCTTCACTGTTGAACACGTTGAGCTTGGCACCAGCTAAGTCCCAGGGAAGCCCCAGATCCCCAGCAGCTCAAGTGCTCTCACAGCCCCTCTGCCAGCTCCAGGATACAGCCCTGTCAGAGGAATCACCTGCTCATAAGAGATTTTGACCACTCAGCTGTATCACAGTTTTCAGTCACACACTGCATCCCAAAATAGTTTTGACTTGCCCTGAGGAACATACATGGAATATTAAAACTGCAGAGACAAAAGCATAGGGCACTATGGGCAAGATCAGACAAAGAAGATGGAGAATTGACAAGGTAGAAAAACCACAGGAAGATTGGCACAGACATTACAAAGGGGGGGAAAACCCCCAAACTCCTGTTCTAATATTAACGAGGCTGTGTACAGAGAAAAACTGAAGAGGCCAGCACCAGAAAAGTAGAAGTAGGAGGAAAAAGATGAGTAGAAAACAGGAAAGAGTTTCCATGAGTGTAGTATTGGAGAACTAAGCTCTGAAACAGATAAGCTTGGACGGCACATTTAGTTCATTCCCACAGCTTAGATACAAGCACAACTCAAACTGAAGAGGATAAGTGTTCATTGTGACCATTTGCAACAAAGAACACCCATCTTTTAAGCCTCCCAACTGCAAAGGTTTTTAAAGAGGAAGACAGACCTCCAGAATAGGAGCAAGCTGCAAGTATGCTTAAGACAAAAGGGACAGCCAAGGAGCTGCTTTAAAATCATCCACACCGACACATCTGCCTGTCTCACCTTCAGCCATGCCATTACTTTTCACTGGATGAATTGACAGGTCTGTTGACACATATGATCACATCACTCTGTGCTGTCGTGTCTGCATCTTTCAGTTCTCACAGCAAAAACTTGCCACACAGCCTCCGATACAGACACCTCTGAAGTGAGTGCCACCAGTTCTCCCCTCCATGACTGCTTTCTACCACTGACACAAGCCCTACAGCTACTGCACAAACCCTGTGTGCCTCATGGCTTAGTGCAAGACAGGAGGTAACATCTCTCCCTTTGGTGATACTCTCAAAGCCTGTAATATTCTCCAAAACAACTGAAGGAAATACAGAATAAAATGGCATAATTTTTCCTTAATGGTAAAAAAAGGACAGGAGTGATAACAGAACAAACAGACTGAAAAAGTCACAAGTCAGTGGAATAAGATATTGCTCACTTTTGGCTGAAAGACACAAACTAAAGCACCTGCTCAACATTATCTAAGTCTATGATTAAATCCTATACATGAAAGACACACATTGTGTGGCTTCAAGGATTAGTCATGAACTAGAAAACTCTTCCTCATGGGTGACCAGTTTCAAACCAGCCTGTGCTGACAGCGGTGAGTGGATGTGGATCCAGCCCATCCTTCCCCCACAGGCTGGTCCCAGAGCTGGGGGCTGGAGCAGTGGAGCAGCTCCATGGCCACAGCCACCACACAGTCCTGCCCTGGGAGCAGAGGACTCCTGACCATGCACCAGCCATGAGCTCAGCTAAATGGGGATAAACAGCTTTGGGAGTACAGACACCGCAGAGTCACTGGTCACAATCCTCATTTCAGGCCTCAACAAGACAATTGTCCATTTATTGTTTTCCTCAAGTGTTTTTCTCTTCCCAAAGCCATCCTAGTTTATGAAGCCAAGCCAACATCGAGCAGGAATTCTATTCAGGAGGCTCAGAAATACTCTCAGCTGATTTACAGTTACGAATTACTCCACCACTAAGATACACTTGAATATTTAGATGTTATCTTCTCTAGTAAATCAAGAAGGTAAAATTAACAGTAACAAAAGCTCTCCTGAGCAGTTAAAAGAAAGATACGATCTCATTATCTTTTGGATTTTACAAAACAAGTATTATTAAACACTACAAACTTGTTAGAAGATTTCAGGGGGCTGCAAAGTTCCTCCTGTATCTTCAAGGATGCAA